GGAGGGGGGTGGAGAGCCACCAATGGGGGGAGCAGCAGGGGAGGGGTTTAGAGTCGGCACCCCCCCATTACCCCCACCTCCGCCTTGCACACTGTGTCATCTGCACACGCACATTGCATAGGTGCCAGTCACACCCTGACACAACCACCACGCACACACGCGTACCAACGCAACCACCGCACACGCACGCACACACGCGTACCAACGCAACCACCGCACACGCACGCACACACGCGTACCAACGCAACCACCACACATGCACGCACACACCCGAACACAACCACCGTGCATGCACAGGGGTGCATGCCAACAGAACCACCATAATGCGCACACACACACCCTAACACAACCACTATGTGTGCACACGCGTGCATGCCAACAGAACCACCGTACACGCACACACACCCTAACACAGCCATTATGTGTGCACATGCGTGCATGCCAACAGAACCACCATACACCCCCCCAACACAACCACCATGCACACACAAGCACAAACCCCATGCCAAATAGTCCTGTAACACCATAGAGACTAACAAAAAACACAACCACCTTGCATGCACACGCCCCAACACAACCACCACGCATTCATACACATACACACCACAACGGAATCACCCTGCACACGCGCACACCCACCACACACATATAAGCACGCACCCCGACAGAATCACCACTCATGCACATGCATGCACCCCAACAGAATCACCATACACATATCCCAACACAACTACCGCACACACACAACACAACTACCAGGCATGCACACCCACACACCTCAATGCAATCACTACACATTCGCACGCACGCACACACACACACACACTCACACTCACTCCAGCACAACCACCACACACATCGCAACACATCCCACCGCACTCACCCCCCCCCTAACGCAAGCACCATACACTCACACACGCACATGCACCCAACACTACTACCACATCTTTCGCCCTGGGCTGATCCGCACCAATCTCTGCACCTCTGAACCCCGCACGTCTCCCAGGTTGCTGCTCACCCCCTGGGGCTCGGCTCCGGGCCCCAGGCCCCAGGCAAGCCCCACGCCACCTCCCTGCCCGTCAGCCGGTCGCTGTGTAGCCATGTGGGAAGTAGAAGGGGCTGCTCCCCGGAGCAAGGGGCAGCCACCAAAGCCCCTTTTGCCCCCCACTGCCCCGGAGAGACCCAGAGGTGGGGCGGGCAAAGGGGGAGGCCCTGTCTCTGCCCCCACCCCAGGAGCGGGGGAAGCTGGCCGCCCATCCCTGCTGTGGCCGCACCCGGCCCGGGGCACCTCTACACAGAAAGCAGGAGGCAGCTCCACTCCGCAGCCCGCTCGAGGGGACGGTCCCACGTCCGGGG